GTCCGAAAGGCATAACCGTAAATTGATAAAGTCCACATCCGGTAGAAAATGCTGTCTTCTCTTTGTCTTCATCATGTAGAGCAACCTGCCAATAACCACTCTTAAGGTCTAACGTGGAGAACCATTTTGATCCTGACAAAGCCATTAAAGTGTCGTCTATTCTGGGTAGTGGATAACTGTCCTTTATTGTTACATCATTTAGTCTTCTGTAGTCAACACAAAATCTCGAACTTTCATCTTTCTTGGTAACTAAAACAACAGGTGCTGACCAGGGGCTTGTTGATGGTTCAATGATCTTTTCCTTTAGCATGTTTTCTATCAGTCTATCCGCTTCCGCTTGTTTGGCAAATGGTAACCTTCTTGGAGGTTGTCTTATTGGGTGAGCTTGTCCAGTATTTATTTGGTGCTTGATGATTTCTGTCCGTCCAGTTTTCTTGCCGTGCATGTCAAAAATATCAGCATCATCCATAATAAACCTCTTTGTCCTCCTAAGTTTTTCCGGGCCAAGGTGTGACCAGGACTTAATGAATTCCTCAATTATTTCCCCAGAATTTGAATTTTCCAACCTTTTTCCATTTGAGGATTCTTCACAGTTTGTGATGCTAAATACTGGTTCATAATCGGCTATAACATCCCCTTTCTTTATTTGGGTACCGGTTGAAAAAACATTAGCTACTCTAATCGGGATCTCTTTCTTTTCATTAATCAGTGACTTTGCTACCAGGTATTGATTATCTTTATTTGCATGTACGAATCCGACGCAGCTCCCAGAACTGCTTTCCAGCAGGCCCATTACAATCCTTTCCGATCTTCCAGGAATTCTTACAGCTTCTTTGGCTAAAACTCGTATGGGTGTTAGTGTTGTTGTCCCAAGATGTTACAGGACAAATTCCTCGTTGCCAAACTTTAAAACTTCTGATTGAGGGTCGAAACTAAATCCATGTTGTCGAATCAAGTCCATACCAAGAATAAACTCATCTTCTATATCAGCTACAAGTACTGTATGCGTCAGGCATGTTCTTCCCAGTTCGATGTTAACTACCATTTCTCCTCAGGTGTAATTTCTCCGGTTACTGTGCGTAAATTCAAATTTCCAATGATTGGTTGAATTTTTCCTAGCTCTATTGTGCTTGATTTTACAACAGATTTTTCAGCACCAGTGTCTATTGTGATAGTGACTTTCCGTTCATTAATTTTACCCTCAATCAATAAGCTATTTATATCTTTACCAAGTCTTCTGATTGAAAGAGTCCTGGGGGCTTCTTGGGGGTTAGTCAGCATACGCCCCCTTACGCTGACTAAATCTAGTTTTCCGACCTGACGCTGGTTTCGGGGGACTGCCGATCCCTAGATGCAGAACGTGGCGGCAGTCTTACTCTGCAGTCCCTCTTCCAGTGACCTGGCTTGCCGCAGCGATAATAATCTCCTCTAGGTTGCAGCGTTGTCCTCCTGTCTCTATCTTTAGGTCCAGAGGCTTTAAATACGGCTTCCATTTCGAGGGCTCTCATTAACGCCTCCCCACTCTTTTTATATCTTGTCAGTCGCAACTGTGTTTGAATTTCTGAATCCCGGAGACCATCAATAAAATTCATGGCAGCAATTTGTTCCAGAAACTCTTCCGGCGCTGTAGGATATGCCAAGTAAATAAGACGTCGTACCTCGGCCTCGAATTCTTGTAGGCTTTCTCCAGGTTTCTGCCCTCTTGTTTTAGCCTGCACCTGGTAAAGCTGCCTCCTGTATTGATCACCATAGCGTAAGTCAAACGTAGATACGAGGGTGGCATAATTATTCTGTTGTTCTACGGGAATAGTCTGTAATAATTCCAACGCTGGGCCCCTCAGAGCTAGAATTAATGATGTGGCCATTTCTTCGTTGTTCCACACGTTGGCGGCGGCAGCTGCCTCAAATTGCTTTTTATACATCATCCACGAGGTCGTTCCATCATATGTGGGTGGTTTGATGGCACGTCCACCCATGCTCCCATTATTTCCTTGAACTTTGACCCTGTTGACCTCTTTTTGAAGCTGTTTAATCCTTTCTTCAACGTTCACAAATCTCTTTTCTACGTTATCAATTTTCTCCTCGACGTGTTCTTTTACTTCATTTACCTTCCCATCTACTTGGACAACTTTTTCTTCGACGTGGACAACTTCCTCTTCGACGTGGACCACCTTTTTCCCTAAATCTTCCTTAACATGTTCGATTTCTTCTTTGACAGAACCTATTTGCGTCGAAACACCCTGTAGTTGCTGTCCGAGAAATTTCTGGAGACGGTCCTGGTCTTCACGTCTTCGTTCTTCGTCCTGTTGTCTTCTTTCTTCTTGTTGTTGTTCTAGAATTTTCTGGATACGGTCCTGTTCTTCTTTTCTTCGCTCCTCTTCTTGCGCCTTTTCTTCTTTTCTTCGTTCTTCTTCTTCTTTTTGTTTTTTTTCTTGTTGTTCCATAAATTTTCCAAACAATTGTTCCAGATGTTTGTCCATTTCTGCGGTACTTCTAGTCGTAGGCATTAATAAATAGTCAAATCCAGGTAAAATTGTCACGTCCGATATTTAATTTTCACTTATTCCGCTTCTAACACCAATTGTTACGGAATCGGGTTCGAAAATAATTTAGTCTATTTTTTTAAACTCAACAAACACTATTTATTTAAACAACACTTATTTATTACAAACACTTTTACAAAGAAACACTGTTTACTCTATCTAAGTTCACTTATTGAGCACGTCCAATTAACTGAATTGCTTTAGCAGGCCGCGACTTGCTTATATAGGCATCGCAATACCGCGGGACTGGAGGGGTGCCGCGTTTCGAGACCGCAACGCGAATAGTCCCGGGTGTTCGAGAACATTCTCGCAGCAGCTTATTTTCAATAGACAGGCGTTCTAGAAAAATCGTCATTATTCTAGTCTTCTATCGTAACAATATTTTCTCGAAAAACCCTCAAACACGTAAACTGAGATATAAGTTGAAGTATTTTTATACAAAATTTTATAAAGATTGGTAAAGGCGTTTTAGAGTTAGAATTTTTTTACTTATTATGCGTTAATTTTGACGGGCAGTGTATATCAGGATAAATATCGTCGCATAAATATCATGATATTTATCAGGATATTTATCACTGATATCCTGCCAGCCTTGCATACAAATTTTTAATTATTATGGCTAAAACCATATAACATTAACAATAGTAAAAATATATACAACAAAAATTATACAGGGTGTTTCAGAATAAGATGCTGAACCTTAAGGGTGTGAATCCTATTTCATCGAAAACCGTTAGTCATACGAAAAATGCTCAAGAAATCAAATTTTCCCTAAAATGAATGGGGATTTAAAAAATAATTTTTATTTTGAAAAATAGGAGTGGCGTGCATAATATTTTTCCAAAAATATCTAGACCACATCCTGTACGGACGCCACTGATAAAAAAATAAAAAATCTTCTACATCAAAAACTTACTGTTAATGCTTAGAAGGCGTGTGCCAAATTTTATAAAAATATCTAGGAAGTTATTAATTAAAGTTATGATAAAAAAACGATTTTTTTCTTAAAACTTTAACACCCTGTAACTCAAAAATTAAGAGGTTTAGGTCATAGGTTTATTTGAACTTTTTTTCTTAAAATCAACTAAGGATTCACACCCTTAAGGTTCAGCATCTTATTCTGAAAACCCTGTATACAAATAAAACAAATGAAGACAAAAGATGCAACTATTCTTAAAATAGTAGAAAAAGTGGGAAAATTCCCGGGAATTTTGGAAAATTTCCCTATGGGTCTGGAAAATTCAATGAAAATTTTATTTTTTAATAATGGTTGTATTTCAATTCCAATTTTTTTGGCAAAATTTCGTACTATATTTTAATTTCATTATGATCAAACTAAATTAAAATTAAGATATATTTGCAAGTTTCAAAATTTTATTCTTTTATCATGGATTCTGACAATTTTCTTGGTTTTTAACCTAACAAAATAGAAACCTTAAGCAAATTAATATTAAAAATTATGAATTGGTTTAGTGCAAAATTTCCTGGAAATATTTTATATTTATACCTAATTCCAACATGTCAGGAACAGCAAAAGCAATTAAAAGTCTAGTTATACAAAATTCTTGGAAATTGTTAAATAATAAGCACTTTGTGACAAGTACTGTTGTTAATAGGTACTAGGGTGGAGCGAAATTTTTTTTTCCTTAGCCTGGGGGTGGAATTTGTAGCCTTTAAAAAAAGAAAATTTTTGAAATAAAAAAAAAATTTTTACTCAACGTCTTGAGGTGGCCCACTGATTTTTTAAATTAAATTTAAGTTAAAATTCTTTTGAATAAAAAAAAAAATTTTTTGGCTTGTAATCTTCAAATTTATCTAAAAATAAACAAATTTGATCGTGTTCAACTCGAAATACGCTCTATTGCCTCAGAAAAGCATGTTACTATTTTGGAATTTTTTTAAAAACAACAATAATGACCACAAAATTTTTTTCATAAACATAACTGTTAATTAGCAAGAAAGAGGACACTCCGCAGTTTCCGGAACACTTTTGAAAATTTTTTTTTATTCAAAGAATTTTAACTTAAATTTAATTTAAAAAATCAGTGGGCCACCTCAAGACGTTGAGTAAAAAATTTTTTTTTTATTTCAAAAATTTTCTTTTTTTATAGGCTACAAATTCCACCCCCAGGCTAAGGAAAATTTTTTTCTTTTTTTCGCTCCACCCTAATAGGTACCCTCTTTACTACTGGTTCATGGGGTCCAATTGTATTGCATATGATTTGTTGAATTTCATAATGCTTTAAAGTTAGAACATTATTTATATCTAAATTCATCTCTAAGTTATAGGTATATTTATTTTATTTCACCCTGTTGTATCAAGATTATAACCTAAACATATATGTTTATAAAAACTGTTCCTTAGTGAATATTGCAAAAAAATATTTTTTTGCGTGGTTAGTTTTTTAATAAATAATTACTACTTAAATTAAAGTTATCTTTGAATATTATTTTTACCTCTGATACGATGTAGTTGGGGGCGGTGGGGGTGGCTGATTGTATCTTTGAAAAGATTCATAACTCCCTGGTGGAAGGGGTGGTGCACCTGGTGATTGAGTATTGTCTGGACTGGGAGATGGAGGAGGCATTTTAAATCTGTCTTGGTTCCATTCTGCCCATTGTCTACTGGTCTAAAATTAAAAATATATAAAAATTATTGTTTATAATAAAATGTATACCTACAGTTGTATTCATTAAAAAAGCGTACAAGAATTAGAATGAGAGAAAACTGTCAACATTATTGCGTAAAACCGGCTTTCCACTGACTTAAGTCACTATAACTGACAGTAGAAAATAAAAATGCCTCGTCAGTTAAAAAGGCTCAAATAGTATCAAGAATTGAAGAAGAATGGTCAATTCGTACTGTGGTATAATATAAATAAAAAGCTATATTAAAAATTAAGCAACGCTGGGAACAGGAAGATTAACTAAACCAAAAAGTTGGTTCAGGTCGTCCCAAAATGTCCACCCCTGAACCGGATGCTGCTTTTTTGAGATTTCTGAGGATTTATGGGAAACTATACAACTATACTATACCTACTATACTGCTGGGAAGATATTAATCCAAATATTGTATTAAATTTAATTCAGTTCATCCCAAATAGATTGGCTCAAGTAATAGAAAAACAGGGATGCATGACTAAATATAAAAAATTTTTAATGTTTGTTTTTTTCATTATTAAAAGGTAATAATTTTTGTAATATTATTTAATTAACCTACGACGTCAATGCTCTTTATAACCTATAATAATTATTTTAATGACTTATGTCAGTGATAAGCCGGTTTTAAGCAATAATATTATTTTGACAGTTTTCTCTCATTCTAATTCTTGTACGCTTTTTTATTGAATACAACTGTACCTAGTAATTATGAGTAAAGCAAATAAGTACTGTAAAATTTACATTTAATGTTGACCACTTAACTTTAAGGTTATGTTACTTATATCCATAACACCCTGTACAAATAATCAATATTTTTGAAAGAATTTTTTACATTAATGAAAATACAAACAAACAACAATAGGCCTTTACTGATTAATAATATAGTATTAATATATATTATTTAAACTAGTTACCATCAATATCTATTCATATCTGCTTCAATTCAATACTGTGTCTTTGAATATCATCTTAAATTAATAATATTAAACTTACCATTTCATAATTCTTGTAATCTCCATTATTGTATTGTTGTGCCCAATTAATCCAAGAACGATTGGCAGACTAAAAAGGAAAAAACTATAATTGACATATTTTCACATGAATGGTTTAGAAAAACTAACTGCGTTAGGCCACTGGTTTTCCTGAGAATAGTAGTAGTTGTCACCCATGCTGGAATTTTCTATTTACTATGCTAATTAACCACTTTTTCAGGAAGAAGAAGTTATAATTTTTCCTTATTTGACAACTGACATTTCTCTATTTACGTCTTTGGGAGTATTGGATTTTTAGGTTGCCGGCATGGAGCTCCATGGTTGCCGGTTTGGATATTTGTTAAGCTGCCTTTGCATTTTTCTAAAATTGTAACATGGGTTGCATATATATGAAAATTAAACAAAAATTAGGATGTATATTAGGGTGAGCCAAAAAAACTAACCTATCGGATTTATGGGTTAAAATGAAACTACATACCGAGCAAAAAATTTCCCTGCAAGGCAAAATTTTTTGCTCAATTTTAAAAGGTGTCGGTGAGAATTCTAAGTTTTCCATTGAAATAACACGTAAAAAAATCTTTTTTCATTAAAAATACCATAACTTTTGAACCGTTTGAGATAAAATTTTTTACGTCGCGGATTCTTAAGAACAATTGTAGAGCATAAAATTTCCCAAAGAATCTATACCAGGATTATTTTTTTTTAATTCAAAAATTCGTATGTTTGAAAGCTTTGAAAAGTGTAAAAAATCCCTAAAACTGCAGTCTTTTTAATGAAAAAAGACTTTTTTACCTGTTATTTCAATGGAAAACTTAGAATGCTCACCGACTCCTTTTAAAATTGAGCAAAAAATTTTGCCTTGCAGGGAAATTTTTTTCTCGGTATGTAGGTTCATTTTAACCCATAAATCCGATAGGTTAGTTTTTTTGGCTCACCCTAATGTATATAAATAAAATATAAACATATATATAAATTAAGACCTTTATACCTAACGAAAATTCTCTATAAATAAATAATAATTCCCTTTTTCCCTATTCTCCAAAAAAATCCCCAAAAATAGGGAATAATTCCCTAATCTGGCAACACTATACCGTATACTTAAAGATTTGAAACCTAACCACGATTATATTTAAACCAGTTTGGTTTTAGCGATAATTTTGGTTATTTTTATACAATATAGGTCGATGGTTTTAAACCATTTGACACAGAACATAAGCCTTTTGAGCACGGGACCTGCAAATGAGTTTAAAAAGTCTATTGCGCTATGCTTATCTAATTACCTGTTATCAACATAACAGTGTTGTCAAAATTGACAGTTTATAAAGAAAAATGTCAAAATTTGTGTAATAAAATGTTGAATAGTTTTGTGCCCCGGTCGGAGGAATCATTACACCGTGTAATTTACATGATAGATACCCAAAACGAAACAGACATATAGGTGAAAATGAAGGTGCGAGAATCGCAGAGTGAAAATCATACGTGAGTGTGGTGTACACCATTCGCATGCGCATGCGCTCGCGGTGGCGATGGCGAGCTAGGGCGTGCGGTGCGGTGTGGTCCTCGACAGTTAATATATCCGGCAAGAATTTGTTGGTTTGCACAATAGTATCGATAGCGTGGCTTGCCGGTTTAGAAGACACTTGTGCATTGTTGTTTGTTGGAATATAGTGAGTGTATGTTAGTAAAAATGCAGGAGTACACACAAGTCACATCGCCCAACTACTCGTTTCTGTTTAATTTCGAATCGGATTTTATTCATGAAAAAAGCCATGAGTGGATGATAGACAACTGGACATGGGGCTTCTACTATTGCGGGATCTACATGATCCTTATATTCGGCGGGCAGTTTTTGATGCAGAACAGACCCCGGTTCGATTTGCGAGGTGTTTTAGTCATTTGGAACACGATGTTGGCAACGTTTAGCATCGTCGGTGCTAGCAGAATGGTGCCGGAGTTCTTCCACATTCTCACCCAACACGGGATCTATCACTCGGTCTGCGTGCCTTCGTTCATCGAACTGGACAAAGTATCCGGCTTTTGGACGTTTATGTTCGTGCTCAGCAAGCTTCCGGAACTCGGAGACACGATCTTCATTGTGCTTAGAAAACAGCCCCTGATCTTCCTCCACTGGTATCACCACATCACCGTCCTCCTCTACTCGTGGTTTAGCTACACGGAATATAGCGCCAGCGCCCGTTGGTTCATTGTGATGAATTACTGTGTCCATTCGATCATGTACTCCTACTATGCCCTTCGAGCCATGGGCTATCGTCCACCCAAACAAATTTCCATGGTTATAACTTTCCTTCAACTCCTCCAGATGGTTATTGGTTGTGCAGTAAACTTCTGGGTTCTTCAGCTGATCCAAGGTGGAGCCAAGTGCCACGTAACCCCACTTAATATTAAGCTTTCAATTGCCATGTACTTTAGTTATTTTATGCTATTTGCCAGGTTCTTCTACAAGGCCTACTTGTCTGGAGAGAAGCGCACAACGAAAATGCCAACTGGCTCTGACTACCCCCTGTCAAAATCCAAAGTACATTAGTGTTTTAATGTAGCCAAAATGAACTTTCTGTACAATATTTCCAATTGTTTTTGTAGGAAGTGTCGAAAGGACATTTATTTACATGTATTCTTACAGAAGTCACTATATCACAAAATTATTTATTGAAAATATTTTTTTACATAACAATTGGTGTGGATGTTTGTGATTGCCTGGAAAAAGGTATGTTTTAAAATATTTACTTAGTGGATATTATATCCACCAACCATAAAATTAAAAGAAAAATGTAAATAATTTGTATATTATTAATTAATTAAGAAAGACATGTCTTTTCGACTTATGCATGAGGGTAAACTGTTTTATAAATTACCTCAATAATGAACATAATTGTTATTTAGGTACCTAACTACAGCTACATTTCCTTTGATTGTGCATTTAATTCTGTGAAAATTTTACCAATCATGGTTTCAGGGTTAATTTCCAGATATCACAAAATAAAAATAATGCCAAACTATTATATCCTGCTGTGATTAATATTTATTAAGTTTCCAATAGGTTTCCCGAAAATATACACACGCGGGAAATCACGTTTTTTACAATAATGAAGAGATGGAATGTAAATTTTTATTAAAACAAAAAAAATTTGATGTTTTTATAAAAATTCAGATTTTTTCAATTTATTGACTAAGCAAAAAAAAGATTATTTAAAGTGTGAAGCTTTTTTTGTGGTATCAGAACTCTAATTCAATTGGGGATAGGTTTTGTTAAAGCTAGTCATATTTATAAAATATTGTTAATCAATATTTTTTTATTGTTTATAACATGTTTAGGTTTTTTAGTAAATTATTTTTAATACATTAGAAGTATTTTAAATTGAAAAAACATTGTGAAAATGCTTTTAAAAAATAAAATAGCCAATCTAAAAATAAATTATTTTTCACTTATAGACCTGTCTTTTTATTAATTAAATTGTTACAATAATTGTGTAAATTTTATTTGCCTTGCAAATTAAGTTTATTTCATGCCGTAAAATGTTTAAAACCTAAATAAAATTTGGTAAGCATCAAAATGTATATACAGTGTGGAACTCACTTATGGAATAAAAGTCGTTATTCGTTGAGAAAAGATTTTTATGAAAAACGCTCGGACACGTAAACTGTAGTTTTTTATTCCAAATCTTAAAATGATAATTTTAAATTTTATGCCCGCACCATTTTCCCCCCCGCACATTAGGCACCTTTATCTTAAATAACAACCCCACTTTTTTTCATCGAAAATTGATAGTGCACATTTTTTTGAGTATGACGATACCATATAAGAAGTAGGGTTTAGTAAACAGTTTTCAATACAGGGTGGAAATATAATAATGACAAATTAAAAAAGTAAACTTTTTATTTTTAAATTAATTAAAAATTCAAAAATAAACTGTTCTTCAATCTTATAAAATGTTCAAAATGTCCACTCCCTGACACTAGTAATCTACTGTGAAATTGTTCCCGCACTCTGTTTAAAACCTCCGGTGTTATGTTCCTAATTTCTCCAGTAATTCTGTTTCTTAATTCATCTAAATTAGGAGGTTGTGTTTTAAACACCCTGTTTTTAGATATCCCCATAGAAAAAAGTCTAGAGGTGTTAGATCCGGTGATCTTGCTGGCCATTCTATAAAACCTCTTCTTCCGATCCACCTGTGTGGAAAGGTGTCATTTAAATAATTCCGTACAGGAAGAGCATAGTGGGGTGGGGCACCGTCTTGTTGAAGCCATATCCTTTCATTGGGAAGATTAGCTTCCAATGGTTTTGGAAACAACTCTGCTAAAGTTGGGACAACTTGTTCTCTTAGCATATCCAGATATCTTGCCCCGTTAAGATTTTCAATGAAAATAGGTCCCACCACATGATCACCAACAATACCAGCCCAAACGTTGATTTTCTGAGGACGTTGGGTATGACTTTGTCGCATCCAGTGGGGATTTTCTTCTGCCCAGTACCTGCAATTTTGTCTATTTACCTCGCCATTTAATAGAAATGTTGATTCATCAGAAAAAACAATATCTGCAGATGAAATAACATTCCTGTTTAACATATGCAGCATTTGCTCGCAAAATTGTAATCTTCTATCAGAATCACCATCAATCAATTCTTGTACGTGTTTTAGTTTATATGGTTGCATTTTTTCGGCTTTTACACATCTTAAAACGGTCGAATGACGTTTTCACGTGCAACCTGACGCGTAGAAATTGTTGGATCTTCTTGAAAAGCTAATAAAATATTAACTTTCACATTTTCATCAATAAAATGAGGCGTCCTGCGTAATGGTTTAACGTGTCCATATTCACGAAATTGTGCATGTATTTTAGACACAGTTGCCTGAAAAAGTGGTGGTAAATATGGGTATTTTCCATTAAAAAGGTTTGTAACTTGCTGTTGTGATCTGCACATATCACCATAACCAATCATCATTAATATTTCTATTCGCAGAGTTTCTGTCAAGTGTCGCATTTTTTAACTAAAATATTAACTGATACTTGGATCTAACAAAATACTTCAATAAGTAAAGCGCAAAATGTTTCATTAATAATAAAAATTTAAACAATGCAAAAAGGACAAGCGCGAAAAATGGCATTAACAAAAAACAATAACAAAGCGAAAAAACATGAATATCTAAATAGCGAAAGCCACAACACAAGAAACTAAATCATATAATAACAATAAAAAATTCATACTTGTAATTTTTAAATATTCACCCTGTTGTAATGTACACTATGTATTTTCGTAACCCGATTCTTTAAGTATACTGAAATACTTGTTTTGGCATATTCGTGATCGTCTAGATAATTTACTTACTTTATAAAAATTAGGACTCTACGTTGTGTATTTACTTACATTGATAATAACGATATTTTGAAATTGGTCAGGTTTAATGAAACACAAGTATTTAATTTTAAACCCCTGATTTAATTTAAGCAAAGACAAAGGGGTGGCCCGTTGAGTCAAAGCACAGGGAAAAGGGACCATAAAAACCCTGGCGACTTACACAGTTCAAATAAAAATAAAATACAAAACAAAACATAGTCATATGGGTCATAATCACAAGAATACAGTATAAATAATAAGTGAATAAAATAACATAAAAAGCAGATAAACATATTTCATATAATTTGGGTGTTTTTATCAATACTCAAAACATTTTGTACTCAGGTAAAATAGTTATAATCTATTATATATCTCTAGATCGTCATTTTATGACGAAGTGTTTGTTTACCTTACCACGCATCTTCGAACTATTGAACGAGGATGCGATTTAATATAAATAAACTACAGTAACGACACATTTCAGATAGAAGGAATTCAAATGCTTTAAAGGGGAGAGGAAACATGGACAAAATGTAATCTAGTGCAGATATTTAACCGTAGCCAATAACCACACTATGGGAAAATTGCATACTCTGTGAAGTGATATAACGTAACCTAATGTCCCTATCTCACTATAGTATCCCTATATCACAATATGTTCAAATATCCTCACAAAATCAATGTCCAGCACAAGACAACAGTATTATGAAAATATACAAACAATTCTGCACACAGAGTTTATAAGTAGGTAATAACATAACGACACCAAATGTTCCTATCTCACTATAGTGTCCCTATATTACCTATGCTCAAATATTCATGTATGAACACCCTCCAAACAAAATATAAAACAAATACAAAACAAATAAATATGCAATAAAATAAAATAGTGTAAAATACAATACAATAAATAAATGGTGGTAAATATGAGAGTGTCATAGCAAAAACATACAAGCATAGCCTAAAACTCCAACTAAAAGAAAGTGTCGTACCGAACAAAACAATATTTAAACCCAATACAGTACCGAAAAGGTCATTATCAAATATTCCAATTAAAGCGCTTAGATAAGCAGTTTAAATCCAAGTCTATAACCAGAATCTATCAAACAATCTAAACGGCACCACTACCTTACCATGATATGACCTAATGGTAATATCAAATTTAATTATAATAATAATAGCAATAATAATAATATTAATAATAACAAGAAACCTTACCCAGATAATACCAATATTATAATAGTAATATAATTGTTAGAAACTTTAGCCTGAGTACAAATGCAAAGAGTTAAAATAAATAAATACCTTAATACCGAAATGATACACTGAGTTTCATAAACAATAAAATACATTTCAGTTAAATAAAAAAAACTATACAAAGTTATAAAAAAAGGAAACAACAAAACCAAGGCCAGTGTAACCCAAAATAAAGACAATACAAAATATTAAAATTTAAGTTAAATATAATTCAGTGTATATAGTAAATGCGACAACATAAAGATTAGAACTCAGTGTATGCGCGATCCCAAGATATTAACCAAAATAATGAAATAGTGATACAATAAAAAATTATTACCAAAAATCACTCGTTATTTACACATATTAAAATGATTAGGACCCAATAAACTAGCAATGATAAACGTCATAGACCAAAATGCGAATTAAATAATGATGTTAAAAAATTATAAACAAAAATGTATTAAGAAAACCCAAAACGAGGAGTTGTTTATCATTACTAGCAAATATTACAATTTAAAAAAAGTACATACCTAGTTATAGCAGAAAATCGGTAACTATCACAAAAACTATAGCTATATTATAATATATTTCACAAACGGTTTAACAGGAGTATCTCGAAGAGCGAGCAAAAACCCTCTGTCTGTATTCTATTTCCTAATCTAGCTTTTAAACATCTCGGCCACTTAAGCAAGAATGTCTAACATAAACAGTCTTCATAATATTTCTACGTTGAGATACAAAGAAGTGAAACTTTAAAACTCAATAGGGTTTTAAAACATAAAATATCTTAAAACTATAATATTATTTTTAGTGGATTATTTAAATTTTCTTTGGTTAAAATAGCGCGAAATTCGAATTTAAAAGTTTATATACTACAGGACCCTTACACTGTATTGAAAATTATGGATACTAAACCCTACTTATGTGGTATCGTCGTACTCAAAAAAATGTGCACTATCAATTTTCGATGAAAAAAAGTGGGGTTGTTATTTAAGATAAGGGTGCCTACTGTGCGGGGGGGAAAATGGTGGGGCATAAAATTTAAAATTATCATTATAAGATTTGGAATAAAAAACTAAAGTTTACGTGTCCGAGCGTTTTTCATAAAAATCTTTTCTCAACAAATAACGAATTTTATTCCATATATACCTAATTAATATTCTGCTAGTTAACAGTATTTGTTTATTTATTTGTATTTATGTCTAAATCAACTTTTAAATTCAATGAACTCTCTATAACCTGTTCCAATAATTTCATTTTAAAAAACATAATTTTTTATTATTGATTGATACAGGGCCGTCTTAAGCACCCGGCAACCGCCCGGGGCGGCCATTTTTTGGGGGCGGCTGTTTAAGGGGCAGCCATTTTTTAGGCCTTTATTTTTTCTGCGGCCATTAAAAAAATCAAACAAAAATTGCTACTACATGATTTATTTGCATACAATGTTTATAATGAGTTTTTAAATAGAAGTGCGGCTTTCTTAGATCTTAAAAGAAAGCCGCACTCGCGTGCCGACAAATAATCCATAACACGTAAAAATGTGAATTTGTTTTGATTTTGCCTAGGCACCTACATTAAAAAATATTTTTAGTAAACTTCTTTATGTAAAATTCACATTGTGAATAGTACGAACACATATTACCCCATATGCGTTTCGCAGCGAAACTTTTGATGTTTCAAATATGGTTGAACACAATTTTCAAGTACCTACCTATTGCGTTTTTATTTAAAAATAGGGAAATTTGATCTTTCGGGAGTTTAAAAAAGTTTACAAAAGGATTTTCTTGCTGGCACTTGTTATAGTATTTTTTCACCCTTTATTTTGACACTTTATTTTTTTTAATTAAAAAACCTTAAATTATCTATAAAAATATCCAAACAAAACACTAAGAAATTTTCAACACTGCCCAAGATACACATAAACCGGTATGCTGGTTATGAAACGAAAACCCCTGTTTAAAATACCCCATAGAGACCTATACAAAATAATCTATCGGGCGCTACCGGATTCAATATGTGCATTTGTCCATGGTTTTTTCCGGATACGGCCCGATAGAAAATGTATAGGAAATTACCTATAGGCACACCATAACTTTTACATTTTCCCTATTGAGACCGATAGCAAATAACTCAATGAAGGATATATAGGGATATCCCTATAGAGCAACCATAAAACATTTGACATAATTTAATTAAAACCTATGGGGTCCTATAGGGGAAAAACTAATTTCTACATTTATGTGTATTTTCCCCATTGAAACCGATAGCAAATAAATCAAGGGTGGATATCCCTATAGAACAACCATAAATCTTAACTATGGGTCCTATACAAACCGATACACCCTATAGAAACACCATACATCCCGATACAAATATCTATCGGTTTGAACAGGGTCTCTATGGGGTATTTTAAGCAGGGACTCGTCAACTCCGCGCATGTGACGTCACGTACGAACCTGATTCAAATGTTTTGCATAGGAATACTCTATGCACAAGTGCTTTACTACCATTTATTTTGAGTTTTATCCGCAATTATTGTGTTTTTCGAGGCATAAGTTACACGTGAGCTTTGCAACGTTTGTCGTAAAGTTTTTACTGCATTTATTGAACAGCAATAACTATTTACAAGCCACATACGGGAGTCTCATACCAGGTTATTTATTAGGTTTGTGTTAATTTGTTGGACTTAACACAAAAATATGCCGGGCTGTGCTGTGGCAAACTGCAAAAAATTTGAATAAAAACACCAAAGGCAGTAACACGAAATATTTTTGTTTCCCAAAAAATAAAGATCTGGCAACGCAGTGGGTGAATGCATGCAAAAGAAAAGATAAAATAAATTTAAAAAACGGTAAGTAATGGCAACTTTTTGTATATCCAATTTTCTGTTATGTACATAATATATTATAGTAATTTTCTGTTATACATGCTGATGTAGAAATAGCCTTTTTTTAAGGTTTTGTTTATTGGGGCTAAATACCATTGATCACAATATAACAAATGTTGAATTGGAATTATATTCCAATTATTATTAAAGATGATTAAAATGCACTATTGTTTCATAACTATATATTAAATTTAAACTTATTTATAATAGACTTAAACGTATGTACTAATTAATAAAGAATGTCGAACAATAATTATTAAATGAATGAATGAATGTTTAAAGTCAAGTTCACTCCTATATATAATCTATGTTAAAAGTAGGGTAAACTCCTTATGTCAGCAGACACCAGGGATACAAGGTCTTGGCGGCTTCTGGACAAAGGGATATTATAATTGTTTTAAATAACAAAAACAAAATACCTAACTAAGATTATAGAATTAATAAACAATAATAAAGTATCTAATTTCTAATGTCTAAGCACAACACTTCACAAAGGGTTTATTGTTTAGAGGGAACCTAA